TTAAGAGAACTGAAAATTTCATAGACACCCAATTCATCCCCTTAGGTGTGTTGCCATATTTAACAGACCTGTTGAGAAAGATAGCACTATTTAGTGGCATGTGCATCTCCACAATAATCACATTGAGTATATATGGCATGAGCTCCTATTGGTCTATTATTGTTCCAATCAACTCTTGGTTTTAAGCGATCAAGTCTCTTACTAAGAGTCTAAAGCATTGCAATCACTTAGGAAGATGAAGAGTCATCAGCAACACTCTCTATTGGTCTACCAGATCTCCTCTCACTATTGTTTTGGATGTAATCAATATCAAGATGATCCAAATAATTTCAGACATAGTTCACTAGTTGTTTCGTAATGCCACCAATAGTGATTGTATTCATTTCAAACTTGGACTCAGATGTCAATTGGTTACTAAAAACTTGAATCAAAACCCATTTCTCTTAATTATTCCCAAAACTCTACTTAATTAACTGCTTGAACCTTTCCTAAGCTTCATATAAATGTTCACTAAACTTTTGATTGAAATTGATAATGTTGGCTCTAGCATCCACCTTCTTGTTATGTGAAAAGAATCTAGATCTAAACTTTCCTTTTAATTCATTCCATTATGACACACTATCCTCTTCTAAGTTGTTAAGCCTATCCTTAACTTTCCTTTGTAGAGAGTAAGGGAAGAGGTGGAGATGAATAACATCTTGAGGAACTTCATTATACTTAAAAGAGTCACAAATATCAAGGAAGTTGACTAAATTTCTATTAAGTTCCTCATCTTAATTTCCAACAAACTGCCCATTCATCTCAATCATCTTAAGCATTGTTTGCTTAATCTCAAAGTTGTTTGCTTGGAAGTTAGGCACTTTAATCCCAAACTGGTATCTTCTAGCTTGTCTACCCAAGAAATCATTGACACACAGCCTATCATTCTCATCCTCAGCCATCTCTTCTTTTGTAGACTTCTCACCGATTGAAGGTTGAGTTTGAGGTGAAATATCTTCTAAGATTTCTTTGAAACTCCTAGTTCTCATAGGTGTCTTTTTCAATTTAGCTTTATATGGCATACACAATAGTCTTGCAAAAACAAAAAAGAAGATAAAGGATTTAACTGAACAAACAAGAGAAGATAACATAACAAAATAAATGCTCAAGCTAAAACTACTCAGGGTCCTCTAATTCTAATCAATAGTTGCCTAGACTCCCAAGCAACAATGCTAAAAACTTGAACACACAAATATGTAATGGATTCCACAAGTATACATGTCATAAAAATAGTATGTGATAAATCAAAGTCATTCCCATAGAGAATCAAGTTAATTGGTAATTGAGTAATAAATTCCTCATTTTCATTTGAGTTGAACAAAACAAAATTTGGATTTCATATTGAAAAATAAAAATTGAAGTTATAAAAATGTACTAAAATTAAAGTTCCACCAACCACAAATAATTAAAGTAACCTAAGGTGGCCAAGCCCTTCTTCAATTCATAGAGCTTGTAATTACCCAAAAAAATTTACTTAATATTAATTAGTTAACCCAGGGTATTAATAGAAATAATTATCTTTTGATTAATTACACCCTTTTTTTGAATTAATATGCTATTCCCAACACAAAAACACAAGAATCAAAAGGCACAAACTCACTCTAATATAATTATATGGGTCCACTAGGTATTTTCTTATTCTATTGACAAATTAGAATAAATTTTAATCCCACATTACTCAATCTAATGGTCTAATTTAGATTTTTCGTTTCCAAGGCAAAACCCAAACCCTCAAATTCACACTCAATTATAGCCAAGCATTAAGTAGACAAATAAATACAAGACTAAGTGAACAAAACTGTTATTAAACTCAAATAAATGGTTTAAACATGCTCTAATCTAAAAATTAGTTCATAGCTACCCTAGATTAACAAAAAAACTGCCACCCATGGCTCTAATGATAGCAAATATTAACAATATATACATTAAACTAAAGAGAAGAAGGAGAATAAGCACTTAATCAAACTAATCTTGAGCTAACCCCTTAATTTTTTATTAAATCCAAGCTTCTCCAACCCTCTTTTGGCTCTTTTTTCTCTCCTTGGACATTCTGTAGTTGCTGGAAGTGATGAATGGTCAAAATTGATGTCCTCAAACCTTAAAAATTTGTTGAAGATCAAAACCGTGTGTTTTACTGAAATTCACGCTTTGCTACAATAAAACACATTTTCGTTGCAGCAAATATGACCACTATAAAATTTCTTTTTAGATTTACTTCTTTGGACTTGGGCTTTGAAATTTTTACCTTTAGGCCCATAAATTGGGTCTCCCTGTATGTATAAAACCTAAAATTGACCCACTAACTTCTAATCACATGTACGTATCCATTCTCACATATAAACATCCACTTAATTATTTTTTTCTAATAAATTTAAAGAAATGACTTTCATTGTATTAAAAACACCGATAAATTTAGTAAAATATTGAAAGTTATCAATTACAAAAGCCATTAATAAATATTTATTTTTTTTAAATCTTTTGTTTTTCCCATCTACAAGTTCTAAATCACACAACATGGAATATCATATTTCCTTTTGAAAACAACTTCAATTAAACAAGCTAATAAATAGAAGGAATTATTCTGTTACCCCAACCTTTTTACTTGTGATCAATCCAAAAGCTTCAACTTACTTCAACCTCAAAAGAGATTCCAAATGATTAAATCTATAAAATTAAGCATTATATGTCAATTTCAAATATTAAATATAAATATTTAATAGCACAATTAAACTAACTTGAACTTTTAATCCACTAATTTACTAATTTATTCTTAATTAGTAATTAGATTTTAGATTAAAAACTTGGGATATTACACACCACGTGAGCAAAGTGACCTTCCCTCTATTGCTTCTTGTTGACCATAAGGAAGTTTGAGCCATTCCCAAGACCTAAAATGGCGATGGAAAAAGAAAACAATGAAGATGATGAACTATTCGTTCATGCATGGATTGCCTTAGCTATTTTAAAAGCAGGAAGCCTCGTATGTAGTAAAAGAAATGAAGTTTAGACACGTCAAATGGTAAAATGAGTTTTGCCTGAGCCCTACAAGTTGCCACAGCGGGAGATAATGGTGGATTTCATGGCTTAATAACATCAGCGCATTTTTGAACCTCAAAAAAAATACTTTAAAAAAAAATTATCTCACTTAAAAGTATAAAATATTCAGCACTCCTAAATCTTAACCTTTCATTATTAGTGTTACTCTAATTATATTATATTATTGTTACATATTGTTTCATAGAGTATTATCATTGGGTTAATTGTCCGGAATGTAGATGTCAAATAATAACTTTTTGACTTGATTTTTATTTGGATTTATTAAATTGTATGAATTAGGTTTTAAATTTTATTTAAGCAACAAACCTCCCTATAGCCTGCAATGTGTCTATCTTAATATTTTATGTAGACTTTGGTAGTTTCAAAATCTACTTAAAGTCTGAGTCCTAGTCTCCTAGGCTTATTTAAATACTTGCATTTTAAATATATTTTTAAAAAGATTTCAGTCCAAGCCGAGCCAAGCATTTTGAAGGCTTGGGCTTGAAACATCAAGAAAAAAACATGTATACATGCTCAAGCATAGGTTTGGATTTTTTTGCCCCCCTCTTGTTACAGGTTTAGTCTTGTTTAACCAAAATGTAGACTGACTTGTCCTATTGCCACCTTGCCACCTTTATAGATATGCATGTGAAAAATTGCAGCTATCCCAATAACATAAATGACACCATTTCGAGAGGGGATCTCTTCTTTTCTTTCCTTCCTTTTCTCTTTACTTCCCCACTTTTCACCATTTACATCATTTTATTAAATAAGTTTTTAAATTATAAAATTAATGAAGAGTAAAGATTGAGAAAGTGGAGAAAAAAGGAGAGATTCCTCTCCCCACCATTTCAAGAGTCTCACTAATAAAATAGTATGGAATTTTAAAGTAAGATTTTTCTTTTCATTTTTACCGAAATGTACTCTAAGATTTAATATATAACTTCACGAACAATTGGTTTAGAATAAAACCCGTCGCAAACAATTTGAAGGAGTGTCTTTTTTTTTTTTTATATTATGGGTTATCATATTTGCACTCTAGTAATCGGCTGAATGCTGGGACATTGTTACTATATTCCTGTGTCAAGAAATGCATCCATCAAAAACTCATGTAATTGCTTTGATTTGTATTTTGATACAAATATATATACACCTCAAAAATATTATACTCCCCTTAGTGCTCATTAGGATACCTTCTAGAAGCAATTTTTAATTCTTAATATAAGACACATTATAAGATATTAATTATGTTTTTTTAAATATCATTCCAATTTAAACTGATTGATCATAAGAGAGAACATAATGTAAATTTGAAAATTTTTCATTTCAATAAAAGTAAAATTAAAAATTTATTCTATTTTCAAATAAAATTAATAGCTTAACTATCCCTCTTTAATTTTGGTGAAATAGTTAAAAATACCTCATAATAAAAATGAGAGAGGGCATGTCATATTGTATCAGGGAAAAACTGAACGTATAGATTCATCAGTATTGCGCCAGAATATGATATAACAAAAACGGAAGGTACTGCGTTAGAATATTAGCGGGAGCTTTGTCAATAAAAGTAAAAAATAAGATGTACTTAAAACTCAGTTACCACTACTTTTTTTCCACAACAATTTTGTTTTATGGAAAATTGTTCTGTTGAGAAATTTTCGAGCGGTTGACTTTGAGCAAAACATTATTGTAGACTGAGAAGAAACACAAATTGAAGTTCGAATAAAATTCACAACTGCCCCCTCCTCGTTAATCTATCAAACATCATTGTTGACTACAATTATGATATGACACACTCCACAAAAGCCAATCCCTCATGACTCAAACAAAAATCCCATAACAAAATATCAGTTAATTTGTCATTTTAATGCATTTCCATTTCTCAAGGATATGAGCAGGGCAAGTAGGCATAAAGAATTAAGGCAATCTGACACAAGAACAAGAAAATGCGATGTTTATATAAAGATTACGCCAATCATTAATACCATAGCAATGAAACCACTGTAATGTAGACAGATACCCACTAGGAAGTACACGAGAGATTACAGTCATTACTTTCTCAAGCACCAAACATTTCTTTGCCACGCGCAGATCCCATGACTTTTGATGATACCCAAAATATTATTACACTGCAATCAGGTTGATTCAAAGCCTTTGTATATGGAAGCCAATAAAATATGCATGATAACAATACATTCCAAACAAAAATTAAAGACCCTGATCAATGAGGTAATCACCAAGCCTTTCCACTATCATGTTGCATTGACCGGGAGCCATTGGTTCATCATAAATTCCGATGATTAGGGCCTGATTGGTCTTCTTGATAGTAACCCCACCAGGACCCTGGATAATGGGGGAAAATGCTGAGAAACCATAGTAGAAATCACCAGCATAAGGTAATATCGAAACAGGATATTGAGGAAAAAACCAAAACCAAGGGTAAGTTCAAGTTTCAGAGCGGAGTCCAAATCTTGAGTCAGTTACCGATTAAGCTTTGGATTCACGAAACACTTGATACCAGCTAATCATTATATAGAGAGTTCAATTGTTCAAAGACAGTATGCACAAACATCTCAATGTAAATTCATGCCTGCCGATCTAGCAATTGCTACTAAATGAAAACAAGCATGAACAAGACCAATTTCAGTAAGAAGAATGCAGCAGTCATATAGAGGTATGGTTTGCTTAGTTGCCACATGCAAAACTTCGCTTGCATGATTGTGTAGCAGTGTTACTTAATAAAAATAAGGTTTCTAGACTTCTGGGAGGTCACCTAGTAAATTTAACCAAACAAACTCCATTATAATCATCATCTTGGGAATGAAATAGTACTTAATTAAAAAAATGGTCGGATTGTAGGATAGCGGCTGATTGCACAACCCACTGACTAGTTCCACAAATATCAATCCACAGAAGTTTAAGGTGTGACGAAAGTCAAAAGACAATATTAGAAACATTGTATACCTTCTTCCCTCGAATGACAGCTCCTGCTTCACCTTGAATCACCATATATTTAGTGCCGCCAAGATATAACCCAGTTGGAGCAAGTGATCCAGGCTCGGCAAAGTCTTTCATGATACCAGTTATTTCCTCAGGCTTGAACTAATACAATGTTGACAAGGAATGCATAAGAATGTCAATTAGAACAATATTTAAAAAGAACCTTTCCTGATTGAAGGGTAAGTGAGCAAAGCAATGAGATATATGCAGTAAACGAAACACAATTCAAGTATGTAGTACTGTCAGTTGACTACTTATTCAACAATATCAAAGCCTATTTTTAGTTTAAAAAAAATGCAGAGCAAAATTAGGTACATCCGTACCCTAATCAAGCATTCCAGGCTACTAGGAGCTTTTTTTTTTCCCCCTGATTGTATCGCCTATCTTTACAAACTCACCCAAGTGAGAAGCGTTTTACCAAAGTGATTCTGATTAGTTACAAAAGCATAATTCGCATGCTAAAATGAACTATTAGCTCAATCCCCAAAACAACGAAGCATCATAATCAAAGCAAAAGCAGGATCATGCGCTATATCCTATGCATGCAAATCTCACATAAATCAATCTCTCCAGAACAAAAAATAAAAAATTCCACGCAAACCCAATAAATCAGAAAGAAAATCATCCTCGACGGAAGTAAGAAGCATCTAAATCGACAAAAGGTGGTCGGTAAGAAGAAAGCGATGAAGAATTCAGCTCGGATCAAGGAAAAAAACATTACGAAACAGAGAAGAAATCGAAATTCCAAGTAAGATAAGTAGTTGAAATTGGGAAAGAGAAGAGGAAAGAGGGGAACCTGAGGGAAAGTGGCGCTCTGGGCCCAAACGCTGCCGTCTTGACCAAGGATAGCAGCAGAGCTGAGATGATTACCGTCGATCTCGCACATGAGGTGCTCCTCGACGTAGGTTTGCCACGACATCTTCTTCTCTGGGAGGGTTGAGTTCTAGCAAGTTCGGCGATTTCGTTGTCTCTTGAAAATGGGAGCTTCCTCTGTCTTCTTCTGTCTTTCTTCGCCTGCGTTGAAACCACGGAGATGTGATAAATTCTTGTAATGATGCGGTGCCGATGTTAATTTACTATAGTACCCTTAGACTGACCCCACATTTGCGCTATGCTGGGCCATTTGTTTTGAAACCACGGCCCATTTTGGTACAAATGCTAATATACTTCTTCAATCCTATACTTCTTTTATTTATTAACCGCACTGAAATTAAAAGAAAAAATATTAAATTATTAATTTTATTTGAAAAAAGGATAAATTTTTAATTTCACCCATAATAAATAAAAAAATTTAATTTATATTAAATTCTCTCTCATAATTAATAAATTAAATAAAAATAATATAAAAAAGTAATTAACATTTCATTAAGTGTATTATATTAGGAACTAAAAAATTTATTTAAAAAGTATCTTATAATAGAGAGATTGAAATAGTATATTTCTATACATGGGTGCTCTTAAATTAATAAAATTAAGATAAGTTGGTTAAATTAGTAAAATTAAATTAAAATTTTAATTATCTTAAAATTAAATCACTTTTTATTTTTTCCCCTTACAAATTTTATCATTAAATATTTTGATATGACATTAGAATGTGATGGATTACACATACATACATACATACATATATATATATATATATATATAAAAAGTATATCATGTTTACTATTTATAGGGACCGCATGTGAGTAAGCCACATAACTTGAAAAATAGTGATATTTTTTACTATTTAACTGTAGGATTTTAAGTGCTAGAAATTTAAAAATTGAAAAAAAAAATTTGCGCATTTTAAAAATTTAAGGTTTAGGATGCTGTTCGCGTAATAGTTTAAGAAATATATTTCTCATTGACCTTTTTTATGCATAAGATAATAAATGGTAGAATAAAATACAAAGCTAAATTAACAATTTATAAAATAATTTTTTTATTATTTAAATTTTAATTTGTGAGTGAATAACACATCTTAGAATAATAAATTATTCTTTATAATTTTAACATATATAGAGTAACAAACTTTTTATATATACTTTTTTAAATATTTATGGGGTATGTTATTTATATTTTCAATATGTGCATAGATAAAAAAGTTAAAATATGACAAGGTGTTATTTAAATTTTAATTTCTTGTATGTAACACAAAAAATTTTAAATTTTAATTTATAAAATATAATGTTATTTTCGTGCATGGGGTCCGGTATTCTAGGTCTTTGACCCAAACTAATCTAGTTGGCAATTGAGGGCACCTCTTGTTGGATAAGGAGGTGTAGCGAAAGATTAAAATTTTAAAATCTCTATCCTGATATGAACTGAACGAACTCATTTAAGTCAAGGTGGATCGAAGAGTTACATATTAATTTCTCAAACTTGACACATGTTCTCTTCAAGAGTTTGGATCTTAGGAGCTAACAATGTAAATCTGTTCCCTCTACCAGTATCCACATGAACAGCTCTCTAACTCAAACAACATGCTAGTGTGCCCAGCATCCGTTCTTCTTTAAACATTAGTTTTCTTTTTTCTAGGGTGTTTTGTGACTCTCAAAGTATTTGGCCATCAAAACTTTTTTAACTCTATATCTTCACAAAGCACGTCACTATCTATATATAGTATATAGATTAGGATTTTTGCCTTCCACTTAAAGAGCCCATAAAAATTTAATTAAATTTATCTCATAAATTTAATCCATGATATCAGATCTAATTTAAATTTATCTTATAAATTTAAATTATAAAATAAACATGATATTCTCTCATATCATGTTAGTTATTAAATTTAATCTTTCATATAAAATTAAATTTAAAACTAACATAATATAATATATATCACATATACATATTATATTATTTATATATATATATACACACACAAATATATACATATTTATTTCAAAAATATACATATATTATATTATATATATTTAATTTTATATATCATATACATATTCATATATATATTAGATACACACACACATATGAATATTTGTATTTCAAAATATATATATATATATATATAATTATATTTCAAATTTTATATTTCATATAAATATATATATATATATAAATGTTTATCAAATAAATATTTAAATATATATATATATATATAATTCATTCACCCTATATTATGATCATTGAATCTAGACATATTTCAGATTCAATAAACTTGAACATTATAGCTCGAGTTAGTCTGTTCTTGTGTTCAATCCTGTAGGTCCATATGAAGTTAGTAACAAGCTAATTACGCTATTAGCCCAGAAGTCACAAGTGGCCTCTAGTAAGATATTGCAACTACTCAATTCACATGGGGATCGATGATTTGATGTAACCTATCATGCAACTGTATCACATCCCTTTTATCACGTGATATTTTAGTCAAGTGTGAGACATGGAATTGTTATTCTCCTTTACCTAACCATTACTTGCTCGATATTTGAGTGGACTGACTGTAGCAATGAAAAAACCCTTTCTATTATAGTATGACTATACATTTTCTTAGTCTTACTCATCAAGGAGCCCAGTAATATATCTCACTTAATGTGAGGGACAAATTTCATCTTGACCACTCATATTCCTCTACATGAATATCACTGAACTCAATCATGGCCTTTATGATCACCTGGTCAAAGGTGACTTTTGACTAGGTCAAAGTTCAGTGGTTATCATGTAGGAATCCATGATGATCTCAAGTCAAAGGGTTTAGTGATATAGTTACATATGAGATAAACTTATGACTTCTACCATGCAACTTTCTCATAACAGGTTAGTCTAGCACCTTGTACTCTTTTAAGTACTTGTGACTTTGATTTGTATCTCTATAATTAATTAAAATCATACTAGTCTTATTTCATTTATAATCCCTCATAAATGACTAACTAGGGATATTTAGAACAATCAATATAGTTTGTCCAATAATAAAGTTATCATAGTAAACATGCAATTGATATAATAACAAAAGAGAAATTCATTAAATAATAATGTGCATAGTATAATTATTTGCCCTATGGCATAATTTCCAATATCCTTCCACTTGCATTAGGTACAATCATTAATTTGTCTAACTCCTATTGTCTTGACATGATGCTTATGCTCCGCCTGTGCAAGAGGCTTTGTAAGAGGATCAGCAACATTGTCTCCTCCTGCTACTTTACATATTTTTATATCACCTCTATCATTAATCTCTCTGACAAGGTAGAAACACCTGAGTATATACTTGGTCTTTTGATGTGACCTTGGCTCCTTACTCTGTGCAATTGCACTGCTATTGTCACAGAACAAGTTTATTGGATCTGATATACTAGGTACCACTCCTAGTTCAACAATGAACTTCCTGATCCAAATGGCTTCCTTAGCTGCATCTGATGTTGCTATATACTCAACTTCTATTGTAGAATTAGCTGTTGTGCTCTGCTTTGAGTTCTTCCACCTTACTGCCCCACCATTTAAGGTGAACAAATATCTTGCTTGCGATTAAGGTCATCTTGGTCAGTTTGGAAGCTTACCTGTTACAACTAGCTTTTCATTCAATCCGCCATATAGCAAGAATAAATCCTTAGTCTTTCTTAAGTACTTTAGGATATTCTTGACAGCAGTCCAATGATCCTCTCCTAAATTTGCTTGGTATCTTCTGGTCATACTTAAGGAAAATGAAACATCCAGTCGAGTACACAGCATGGCATACATGATAGATTTAATTGTTAAGGCATATGGAACCTTACTCATGCAATCTCGTTGATTTTGTGTACTAGGACATTGGTCTTTCTGAGATGAATGCCATAAGACATATGGGATGAAACCCCTTTTTGAATCCTGCATACTAAACCTATATAGTATCTTGTCTATGTATGTACTCTGACTTAAGCCTATCAACTTTTTAAATTTATCTCTATAGATCTTAATCTCAAGATGTAAGTGGCTTCACCTAAGTCCTTCATAGAGAAAGATTTTCCTAACCAAGACTTGACATTCTACAAGGTAGGAATGTTATTCCCAATGAGTATGATATCATCTACATATAGCACTAGAAATATAACTGTGCTACTATTAACCCTTTTGTAAACACAAGGTTCATCAATGTTTTGAATGAATCCAAACTCTTTGATTACTTCATCAAAACATTGATTCTAGCTTCAAGATGCTTGCTTCAATTCATAAATGGATCTTTAAATATTGTACACCTTTCTAAAGCCTTCTAGATGCATAAAGCCTTCAGGTTATGTCATGTACACTTTCTCTAGTAGATGTCCATTAAGGAATGTTGTTTTAATATCCATCTGCCATATTTCATAGTCATAATATGCTATAATGGCAAGGAGAATTCTGATTGATTTAGCCATTGCGACTAGGGTAAAAGTTTCATCACAATTTACACCATGAGTTTAGATGAATCCTTTTACAACCAATCGTATCTTGAAGACATTTACTTTGCCATCCATGTCAGTTTTCTCCTTAAAAACCCATTTGCACCCGATGGTTTTTATACCTTCAGAAGGATCAACTAAGGTCCATACTTTATTATCATACATAGATTGCATTTCAGACTTCATGGCATTTAGCCATTTCTCAGAATTTGGTCCCACTATGGCTTCTTGGTAGGTGATTGGTTCATTGTGTTCAATAAGCAACACATCACGACATTCATTAATCAAAAATTCATATCTTTGAGGATGATGCCGGCCCTATCAGACCTTTGTGGGCCTTGTGTTATTTGAGTAGGCTGATTTACTTCTTGTGAGTCTTCTCGGTTTTCTATCTGTAACTCTATGCTATTTTGTAGTTATTGAATTTCTTCAAGATGTATCTTGCTCCTACTGGTTCTTTTAGAGATAAATTCTCTTTCTAGAAAGATACCATTTCGAATTACAAACACTTTACTATTGGTGGGATTGTAGACATAGTATCGCTTTGTTTCTTTAGGATACCCCACAAAAAAGTACTTTATGGATTTGGGTGCTAACTTTTGTGAGATTTTCTTTTTAACATAAACCTCACTTCCCTAACTTGAGAAAAGACAAACTAGGTTTTTTCTCAG